TAAAAATGAAAAATGGAAGAAAAACGGCTAGATGAAAAAGGACGCCTAATCCAAGCTGTTGCCCATTATGGTGGGACTTGACCGACAGGAAGGCGGGAGAAAACAAGGTCGCCCGCTAAGGGACAGCTGGAGCAGCCATCACCAGCCATTATTGGCCAGCCTATTGGGACTCGGTGCTGGACTACAAATGGCGCGGGAAAGATGGCGAAGCACCCGTGGGACGAGAAGGAAGCCTTAAACTTATAATTTACATAAATAAAAACATTCGTTGAACATTTCATTTATTTGTATTTTTATTTCTTTGTGCACCAGCAGCCTTTTCTTTTTTAAATTGCTCTTACTGATTTGCTTTCCGTTTGGGAACAAGCCCAGCTGCTTGACAGTAAGACCATGCTACATGCATTGCGGGTGAACTTTAAAAACTTCGGTCACACTACAAAGAATAAGATTTTTCGACTAGTGAAACTCTTAGCCGATCTGAGTACTAGGCTTAAAGGTCTTAGCGATTGCTACGAAAATGTCAGTACTGATAGGACTTAAACTACGGTCCCAATATATTTTTATACTAAGAGCAGGGCAAAACAATTTTATAACAGTCTTGCAACAGCTCGGATCATTGCAAATGATCTCATCGTTAATAGAAATATTATTACGCTTTTTCAAGGAAATAACTAACCTCTAGCTTATGTCCGTATTGACAAGGTCTGGCAACTGTCTCACCAAAACATTATTCAATACTTATCTACGCGAGAATCTGCTTAAATTTGCAAAGGTGATTTTAAATGACTAAGTGAGTGAGGCTATTAAATTTGGATGGCGGCCTGACTGGTTGAGAAAAACTTATAGACCAACCACTAAACTGATTGCGGATACTGAATGGATCTCTGTGGGAATAGGTTATTGTTAACACAGTTTTAGATATCGTACAGAAGAAGCTTGAGAATGTGCGAACTGGATATATCATTTTGTTTATAAAATACTGTAGCTTAGTATTTTATACAAACCGTGATTTTTGTAAATAAAATACCGAAAAGCCTGAATACCATTATCAATATTTTACGGCATCTGTTATCGGTTTCATAAAAATTGCTTAAATTTTTTTTGGTTTTATTTTGTTTTTAGTATAAAAACTACATAAACATTTAATGAATTGAACAATTTACCTATTATTCGTGAAATTTAAACAAAACATAAGTTACATATGTATTTAAAACGTGAATATACCTTAACTTTTTGTTCGGCTCTTATCTTTAGTGCTGGTTGTAGTGTTCTGTAGTTTATGATGAAAAATATTACTGCTAGGTAAGTTAAATATAAATTATTTTTAAATTGATTAACTTGAAAAACATGCTACCATATACATATATACATACGTGTACTTACATACATAGTTTAGTTTAAGCCCTTACATATGTACATACGACCACAAACTCCTCACCTATAGTAAAAGTCTGCGTTGTTTATATGAAACACAACTGTATGTCCTTTCAGATTCAATTAATATACTCAGGAAGTACAACGCTCGGGAAATAAATAAAAATAACAACAAGTGCCTGCATTTATGCATGCTGATGAGATGCTTTTATACTACCTGTAAACAGAACCTTTTATTGGATCAAAACATTGTAAATATGGCATACGAACGTTATGGCATACTTCTTCAAAATGAGCAATACGACGAAGATAAAATCAACGCAAAAGGCATTCATAAAATAAACGTCCATAATGACAGCAATGGTGAGTTTGCCCTTTAACAGGAGTCGAATATTAATTAATAAAATCGGAAATAAATGCAAGACATTGTAACACAATAAATGTATGTATATTTATAAAGTTACTTTATATACATATTCCAACATGTAACACAATAAATGTATGTATATTTATAAAGTTACTTTATATACATATTCCAAAAAGGGATCCATTACATATGTGTATATTGTTAACAATAGATAATATAAAGGATCAAATACGGGATGGAAACCGTAATGATCGTAAGAATTGCGCCCGAAGCAGTGTCACCCCGGATGAGGTTTTTGATCGGCATGAACAACGCAGGCGATTTAGACGTGTATGTATACATATGTATGTACAAAGATGGTACTTGCTATAAAAAATACAAACATACATAGGTATACGGCCCTGTACAAGTTTTCATTTTTAAGAAATTTCACTTGTGAATTTCCGGTTGTAAACGAAAAGAATTACACATTTTGTCGATTTGTGTACCCTTGCAGAGGGTATAATGATTTCAGTCAGAGCAACGCAGTGAGACGTTTCCGACTCCATAAAGTACATATATTCTTGATCAGCATCGCTAGACGAGACGATCTAGCCCTGTCCGTCTGTCGTCTGTCCGTCAGTTTCTACGCAAACCAGTCTCTCTGTTTTAAAGCTATCGGGCTGAAACTTTCCCAAAAGTCTTCTTTCTTTTGCAGGTCGGAACCAGCCGGGTCGGACCTCTATATCTTATAGCTTGGAAAGCTCTGTACATACAATGCTCCCACGGGGACAACCTGCAAGGTTATAGAAACTTCGGCTTGCCGATACCTGCAATAGAGAGACGTTTGGGAAAGTTTAATAGCGATAACTTTAGAACTGAGGGACTAGTTTCCGTAGAAATATTCCCTATTTACACAGAGGGGTTTTCGCGTCAGCGACCAAATTCCGCTTCAGCTAGTTTTTCATCCATAAGAAATACACGTGTAGAAAAGAGACGGGAAAAAGTCGCAACACAACTCTCCGCAGCGGAAAATGGGACTGCACACGCCCAGTGTTTTATTCAGTTTTTTACGCTTTTTTTTCAGATAACTCACGATTTGCGTGTGCGGTCCCATTATCTGCCGCTGAGAGTTGAAGCGAGTTGCTGATCAGCTGTTCTCTTTAATTTATGGGTGTTATATTGGTCGTGGCCAAAGCAAATAAAGGCTTTATAGGCACAAGTGAAATCGAAGATTTGATATCAATAAATTTAGTGGTGTATTTAATGATAAAATCATTTTGGCTGTGATTTAGATTTAGATTTTGTCACATTCTTTGTCACAATTCTATGAATTAAGAATTTGCAAGGTTTCTATTTTTTCGGCTTACCGAAAACTGCCTTCGTTTTCGTTACAGTGTAAATTCTATTTTGTTTTATAGGTTAATGAAAGGTTACCTCGTAAAAATGATTTTGGAGATTCATCGAAGATATGATATCAATAAATTTAGTGGTGTATTTAATGTATTATCATTTTGTCTGTGACTTTATATGAATCTGTCGACGTGCCAAAATTTGATTAATTAGTTAAAATGAATAGCTGAGTAACGTGTGTCGACTAAGACGATTTTTCTTGTTACAAAAAGGGTATATAGTATTCGGCGGAAAATGGTGCATTTAGAAGAAAGCGTTTCCGACCCTATAGAATATATATGTTCTTTATCAGCATCACTAGCCGAGTCGACCTTGTCTTTCCGTCCGTATGAACGCTGTCATCAAATTTTGTATAATACTACTTACTATGGGCAAAAGGTATGGTGAATACATTTTTTTTTAAGATTTTCGTAGTGTGGTGCACTTTAAATTCCTTCCACCCGTCCAAACTGTTAGTAAGGAATTTTATTTGAGCGTTATGCAACGTTTTCGTGAAGCAATTCATCTTAAAGGACCAGAATTTTGGGCAACAATAATTGTTGGTTTTTGCATCACGATAATGCATCGTCTCAAATTTCACTCGTTGTTCGTGACCATTTCGCCAAAACTTCGACGCATACCGCATATAGCCACCGTACTCGCCTAATTTGGCTGTGTCTGGCTATTCCCTAAACTCAAGAGATCACTCCGGGGATCGCATTTTAAGTCGATTAAGTGATAAAAAAAAATCGGAGAAGGCGCTGAAGGCTATACCGGAAAGGGATTTGGAATTTTTCGAGGATTCGAGGAGGATAAAACGTTGTCATAAGTGTATTTTATCGGGAGGGGATTACTTTAGAGGCGATGAAATTTATTTGGAAGAACAAATAAAAAGGGTTTTAGTTAGGTTAAAAAACTACTGGGAAACGAAATACGTCTTGGAGGCGACCTTTGTTAAGAAAATGATTAAGAAAATGGTACTTAAAATTTTTTCTATGGTACCAATTTTTTTTAAAGTGTAGAAAACGTTTTTCACACTTTTTTGTTTTCTATGTGTGTAGGCAATTCTTTTTTGTGCTACAAAATGGTATTTTTTTGCAATGTTTGTATTCTGTTTGTAAGGGTAAGTAGGGTTACATATCATTTAAATAAAATAAAAGTGGTTGTGGGCGTAATGCGGATGGTTTTTAAAACTTCGATACATTTATGAAAAACGTAGTAAAATTATGCGGTAACTAAAATAGCACTATTAACGGTTTTCGATATAAAACTTCATTTGCTCCGATTTTTTGGCTGTTTTTCGTTTTGTTGTATTAAGAATAAGTACTACTAAGTGAATTGGTAAAATAATGAATAAAATAGTGTTCCCAACGGACTCTCAAAAAGCTAATTTATAAAGGCAATGTAAAAGATAAGTTAAGTTGAATCGTCGAATTCTTTAAAATAATGATAAGAAGTTACCTAAAACAGGAATACAAAATAATAGCACGGAGTGCAAAAGCCGCAATGACCCCATAACAGTTAAAAAGTCATGTGCATGAATGCAAGTAGGTCCCGTTTAAGCCGCCTATCAAGTTGAATTTTTTTAAAATTTTTGTAAGTACATAAAAAGTTGGATATAATGTACATAAACAAAAATCATCATAAAGAAAAGTCAATTCGTCTTCTGGTGTCCTCCTTATACCCTTATACCCTTGCAGAGGGTATTATGATTTCAGTCAGAAGTTTGCGACGCAGTGAAGAACCCCATAAAGTATATATACAGGGTGGCAGATGAATTTTGCTACATTAAGAAACTCAAACAATTTGTTTTTCAGTGTATGGAATTCATTTTTCTTTTATTCATGTTAAAGCTCGTTCAATTTTATTAAATATAGCTTAATTAGTTTTAAATATAATGGAATTTAAATGCCCCCCCCTGCTCGTTGATGCATGTGCGGCATCTTACCAAAAAGTTGTTCATTACTGCTTGGAGAGTTGAGACAGGAATAGCCGCAATTGTTTCTCGAATGGATTGCCTTAGTTCATTCAAATTTGTTGGTTTTGTTTTGTAGACTTCCTATTTGCAATAACCCCACAAGAAAAAGTCAGGTGCAGTAAGGTCAGGCGACCTGGGTGGCCAATGGAATGTGGAGTTTCTGGATATCAGCTTATTGGGAAATTTTCGTCGCAATTCTGTCATAACAGGTTGGGCTATGTGAGGAGCTGCACCATCTTGCTGAAACCACACAGAGTTGAAAGAAATTCTCTTTGGGCGAAATTCTGGATAAAAAAACTCTCTCAACATGCTCAAGTAACGGTCTCCAGTAACCGTAACGGTGTAACCGTTTTCTTCGAAGAAGTAGGGCCCGACAATGCAGCGTGATGAAACTGCACACCACACTGTGACACCAAGTGGATGCAATTCCGTCTCATGGAGTATCTGTGGGTTGGAAGCACTCCATATTCGTCAATTTTGTTTGTTTATGTTGCCGTTTAAATCGAAATGGGCCTCGTCAGACATGAAAAGACAGTTCAACATGTTTCCAACCTCTTCCACCATTTGAAGCATCTTCTGGCAAAATTCCAAGCGAATCGGCAAGTCTGCAGCGTTCAGTTTGTTGGCCATTTGAATTTTATATGGGAATAAGTCCAAATTTTTGTGCATAATGGACTGTAATGACTGTCTGCTTACGCCCATATGAGCAGGTAAGCTTCTTGTCGAAACACGTGGCTTGTTTTGTGATTGTTTCCTCCGTTCGAACCGAAGGGTTTCGATGGTAAGGTCTTCTGTTGACTGTCCCATGCTCGGCAAAATTGTTTACAAGTCTCATTATGGTCCAACTGCTCGGAGGATTGCCGTCAAACGTGCGCCTATACTCTCTTTGAACCGAAACTACGGACTCTAGTGCGTGATAGCGGCGGACAATCCAAATTCTTGTTTCAGTGGCCCAGTAATCCATTTTTGTTAAATGTAAAAGTCAATCTGCAAAATAAAAAAAAATTAACCAGATTCATCAAATAGAAAAAAAGTTATTTAATTATTTTTTGGTAGCGGCTTTCATCAGCCACCCTGTATTATTGATCAGCAACAATAAATCAGTACGTCCGTCTGTCCGTTTCTACGCAAACTAGTCTCAGTTTTGAAGCTATCGGGATGAAACCTTTCCAAAAGTCTTATTTCTATTTCAGATAGTATATAAGTCGTCCTCATCAGACAACTTATCCTATAGCTCCCATAGTAGTGATCAAAAAAATAATTTTAAAAAAATGTAAAAAATTATAGTATTGCTGTTTTTTACATTAAATTCCAATCTTGGGAATATCATTCTTTTAAGACTTCAGAACTTCTAAAAATTTAAAAAAAAAATTGGACGACTTAATATATTGCTGCCATAGGAACGATAAAATAATTAATGTCAAACGACTTGCAAGGGTACCGAAACAAGGACCCATATCCTTTACCTCTAGCATCATCGTCTCGTTCAGCGCTCTGACGTCAGCATTGCTGCCAAGTATCTCCACGGTTCTACGTCGGAGGCCTTGTTAGGACGTACTAGTTACTCCCCCTTATTCGTGCGTTTCAGCCTGTACGCCTTGCCCTACCCCCTTCAGCTGCGGCTCAGATGTTACTTTTTTTTTTGGATTTTTGCGTAGCGGCTGCTAAAACCATTGTGTCGTTTTGGGGCGGGACGTACTTTTGGCTTCCTAATTATACCCGTTACTCGTAGAGTAAAAGGGTATACTAGATTCGTCGGAAAGTATGTAACAGGCAGAATGAAGCGTTTCCGACCCCATAAAGTATATATCTTCCTGATCACGATCACTAGCCGAGTCGATCTAGCCATGTCCGTCTGTCCGTATGAACGCTGAGATCGCGGAAACTACACAAGCTACAATACTGGGATTAGGCATGCAGATTCCTGAGATTCCTGCGCAGCGCAAGTTTGTTTCAGAAGAGTGCCACTCCTCAAAAAATCGTAGGTATGAACGTGGATATCTCGGAAACTATCAAAGATAGAGAATTGGGATCTCAGTTTGTTACGCGAATATGCCACGCTCACTCTAACGCCCATAACGCTTAAATCTGTCTACCGCCGGTAGGTGGCGCATTTCAATCTCGCTTTGCTGCTTAAATATCTCCATTTCCCTTTGGTTCCTCTAGCTGAGTCACGGGTATCTGATAGTCGAGGTACTCGACTATAGCGTTCTTCCTTGTTTTCTGTTTGACATGTGGCCATCCCTCTGGCTTTCTTACAGGTCTCTGGGGCTTGCTGGTGCTCTCTGCCCCAGCTTGCCGTTCTAATGCAGCGAAGCAACGTAAATCCAATTTGCGTTATGGGTTTCTTAAATGGGCACTGAACAATATATACACCATCTTCTCAGCGAGCATGTGTTGTAAAAAAATGTTGTTCTGCTGGATCACTGGCGTCAATCGTTGCTCGAAGAACCAATTATTGCTTTGATTATGTATAAAAAGGGGTTTATTAATGTTTTCTTAATTTTCTGAGGTTTATTCTTTACGTTGCGGTTTTACAATAATTTTCAGCGGGTTGCAGCCAGCGAACAATTGCGGGGAAAGATCAACTATAGCTACTGCCGATATATAAACGTGCAGAAAAATATGATAAGATCTCGTGATGTTCTTATACTAATACATGTTTGCAGCTGCATTAATGTTGACTAATATAATAATCAGCAAAAAAAATAGGTGCGATTATGTGCAATTAGTATTGTCCTTTTCCCGAAAAAAGTTTGGACTTTTATCGAAAAAAGCTCCACTTAACTTTTTCATGTGTGACCACGTTAGATACCTATTAATGATCAATCAAAAACATACCTCAGTAGAAAAAGGGAATTAACTCGTGAACATTTTCGTGCAGTCATTTTAAGCAACAGTTGACGTGGATTATCACGACAATAGTGCATCGATGATCCCGCACTATTTGACAAGAAATTTTGGAAAATTACAATCGCGGTGTTTGTTCTCGTGGGATCGCGTACAATTTGACAATCGCTCAAAAAAAGGATCGTGTAGATTGGTGAAAAGAAATTTTGGAAAAATACAAACGCGGTGTTTCAAAACACGTTTATAAAATCGTGTCGACCGTGTGAGTCTTCGAGGACGAGCAAAATCCAACGAATTTGGCTCGTGGAAGAAGGACTTCGAAGCAAATGGTCGCCAGTTTCTTTGGCAAAACCGCTCATGTGGCGACTTTTCCGCTTGAGCAACGTAGAAAGGTCAATTCTGCGTGGTACACCACAGTTTGTTTGCCTGAAGTATTCGGAGAAATTCGAAGAAAGAACCAGAGAACACGGATCATTCTGCACTAGGACAATGCAAGCTCTCACTCATCAGCTCAGACCAGCGCCCTTCTGACCGGCCAAAACGTCGAATTGTTGGGCTATCCGCCGTACAGTTTTCTTCCCGCAAATCAAGGGAAAAATGCGTGGTCAACTATTTTCGCCGCCAAAAGATGCTGTTGAAGCATTCAAATTAGAGGTGTCTCAATCAGAGTGGAAAAAGTGCATCGACAATTGAATTGAGCTCATGAAAAAGTCTAAAAGAGAGAATACTTTGAAAATCAATAAAAACATTTTTGATGATTAATATTTGCCTTTTCATTATTAGTCAAAATCACCAAAACTAGGATTTTTCATGGGGCTAAGAATTATCTGCATTAGAAATAAGACGTTTTCGAAAGCTTCATCTTGATATCTATTAAACTGAGAGACTAGTTTGCGGAGAAGCGGACAGGCGGACATGGCTAGGTCAACTCGACCAATGATGCAGATCAAGAATATATGTCGGAAACGTCTACCGTCTGCAAGGTTATATCGATCGATAATCGATGTTTTTCGGCTCTAATTTTATATATAATAATTTATTTTAAAGTTAGTTAAGAAATTAATGGGTATTTCGATTTCGAGTCATTCGATTATAGCGTTCCTTCTTGATTTTATATATAGATTTTTGTTTTAGGCGTCATTTTGTTAGGTTTCTACCTACTAGCCCTTATTTGTATAATTTGCCAATTGTCTACATCCGCAAATATTTAAACGGTGAATTAAGTAGCCAGACAAAATTTGTCAGGCTGGTAATAAAATCCTTTGCTACGGTACAACAATCTCAAATGTATGGTCCTTAAAGAAATTTATAAAAAGTTTTTTTTTCAGATGGTATACACCTCAGCAATCACATCAACTTGCACAAAAATAAAGTATTTGAATCAGTTATTCAGTCAGAACCAAAAGATAGTGATAACGCAAGTAATTCTAATGTGCATGAAAAGGCATTAAGAGCATCTGAAAATATATTTTCCTCTAAAATGTAAGTAAATTTATTTTAATATCTGAACATATATGTATAAGTTTTAATATGTATTACTTTACAGAAGAAAGAATACCAACATTGGATATCAAATGAATATCAATTGTTATAAAAATATTGGTTATGCAGAAAATCAAGAAATGTCAAAGGACGTGACACATAACCTGCCAAGCAATAGGAACGCTACAGAAGAGTCTTGTACTGTCGGCAGAAATTCACCTTTCCTGGTCTCAGATACAACAATACTAACATCAACTGGAAAATCAAGACGGTGGGAGCAAAAGCTGGTTCAAATTAAAACTATGGAAGGAGAGTTTAGTGTTACAATGTGGGCATCCGGAATATCCGATGATGAATACTCCGGGTCAGACCAAAATGTTGGCGATTCCGATTTTTTAAAAGGAAAAGATATTGATTTTGATCAGAGCACGTCCCAACGAACCAAAGAACTGGAGCAATCTATATTACAGCATGATGTATTTATTCAAGAACCTCAGGCACTTGAAATGCAACCACCCTTAAGCTCAGTTCCAATCATAGAACAGTTAACGAAAGAGAAGGGACTTTTATCTCGTGAAAGTAATATTTCCACAAAGGTTCTAAGTAAATCATCATTAAGTTTCGAAGATCCCATCTTGATTTCGGACTCCACAAGTATACAGCTGGTCAATGAAACTGCCGCCATGACAATTGATAATCCTAAAATAATAGCTACTGACAATACTGGCGATCTGCATACATTGACTAGCTCAGTGCCATTTGGGCTTGGCTTACAGGAAAGACATCAAACTGATTGCTTAGCAACATCTTCACAACCACCATACCACGGCAATATAGGTAAAAACTGTAACTAAAATATAATTACAAAATATAGATTTTTTTGGTTTAATAATAATTTTTGTTTTTAAATTTAGGACCAAACGGAAGCACTGATTTAAGTTTTAATCTTTCCGAAGTCATAGTGTCCTATCCAAATGATAAGAAAATAGCTTGCCCCCATAAAGGTTGCCATAAAAATTTCAGAGACTCGTCTGCGATGCGCAAGCATTTGCACACTCACGGTCCTCGTGTTCATGTTTGTGCAGAATGTGGGAAAGCTTTCGTAGAAAGTTCTAAGCTTAAAAGACATCAGTTGGTTCACACAGGAGAAAAACCATTTCAGTGTACGTTCGAGGGATGTGGAAAACGATTTTCTCTGGATTTTAACTTAAGGTACAGTACAAAAAAGGTTCTAGCTCTAATAAAAGGTTGCATATCTAATGGTCGTTTTACGAACAGACACTTTTTAGTTTGCTGACCAATTTCAAATCTAATATGACTTTAAATGGTAATAGAGACAGGTGCAAATTTATCGGCGTCGCAAACACAAATTATGCGAACTTCGACTCGCAAAGAAACATTGAGGTGTACATTTTTAACTTATTTACATTAAACACTTCAAATTTGTATATACTGGCTGTAACGTTACTGATAATGTGTGGCCTACTAAGGTCATAACGTTACCAGGCAAGCACTTTTAGAATTCACCTAAACTTGTTTCTAAGCAAGTATGTTGTAGCACATTTTCGTAAATACATTTCCCAAAAATACATATTAAGATACAAAAAAGGATACTGATAAGGTTAAAATGATCAAACCAAAACAACTTTTTTTAA